ACAGGTTCTTGGCAAAGCCTTCATTTTTGAGATGGAACTGAACTTCCTGGGATGACTCACCAGGCGGGAGGTGGAATATCGCTGACAGCTGCTGTTTGTCACGAGCTGAGCTTCAGTGAAGGTTACTTCTCCCTGAATGTCAAAAAGGTTTTAAGAGGAAAAAAAAGCAGTTGAAGTTATTTCTAAAATTATGAGGCCTAACACAAAACTAGTGATATGCTTCTTTTACTTTGTGTCTTCCAATTAAATATTTCTGATAACACAATGACAAGGAAGAAATACCACAAGGAAAATAACAACAAGGCTTGTGCTGGGCTTGGGCTGGGAAAAGGAGCTTCCTAGAAAAGCTATTGTGAATCTCTGAAAAAAATACTTTAACAATGACATTTTATTTTATATTAAAAAAATAACAATAAAGCCCATTATATGAGCTACCTAGAGTCGTCAAATTCATAGAGACAGAAAGTAGAATGGTGGTTGCCATGGGCTGGGAAGGTGGGGCAATAGAGAGTTGTTTAATTAATGGGTACAGAGTTTCAGTTTTGCAAGATGAAAATAGTTCCCGAGATGTATGGTAATGACGGTTGCATAGCAATGTGAAGGCTGAAGGGTAGCAGAATACGCCTCCCCAAAATAGTCCACTTTGATATTATTTTGAGCTGAAGACACTTGAAAACCAGAAAATGAAGGGAGAGTCTTTCACCAGCTCCTTTCTCTGCCTGAAGACAGCTCCTCCAAAAGGAGCTGAGTGGGCGTAGATCCCTCCTGGGTTTCACTAACCAGGGACAACTGATTCTTGTCACAGGAAGGAGACCAGGAATGGACACCACACTCTGTCCCTATCGTAACTCCCATCTTTTCTACTCTCCCATGTGTGTTTCCTAAAAATTACTCTCTCCTAAGAGGCCCATATCCCTGTCCCCTTTCCCCTATGGTATTTAAGCCTAAAATCTAAAGTCACATCTTGAGTTACGCATTTTCCCCAGGGAATCTCCCAAGTATACATGAAGTAAGACCTGTTAATAAACTTCGGGGTTGTTTTTTCCTCTTGTTAGTCTCTGTCATTACAAGGGTCTCTAAGAAATCAGAAAGGCAAATTATTCCCCCTCCCCCATACACTTAGCACTACTGAGCTGCACAATTAAAAATAGTAAAGATGGGAAGGTTCGTTAATGTGTATTTTGCCAGTTTTTTTTTTAAAGCCCAAATAAGTTGGAAGATGAAATTGGTTATTTTTAAGCTGGAGCAGTTTGCGTTCTGCCTCGTGATGCAAATGCACAAATGTAAACAGGAAAAAGAACAGAGTCCCTTGGACTGCGGCGGCGTGTTTTCTCCCTGAAGCTGCAGATGCCCTTGACTGCCTTTTATGGTTATGTAACTGATGACAAAGCGGGGCCGACTTTTCCATCCGGCTCTCCGGGGGAAAATGCCTGCCAGTCATTGTGTTCTGGGACATTCTCACGATGCTGAGTTAAGTCCTACATGAGGTTGTGACCTTCAGGGGAACTGAATTCTTTGGGGGGAAGGAAGAAAAGCAGACAAATTGGTGCCAGTCCAGTCTCTGCCTTCCAACCTCCCCACCCCCAGCCCAGCACCCAGGCCCTTTGTGAGCTCAGATGTCACGTGCTCGGTCTCCCCGCCAATCCAGCCGTGTTGCTGGGCCTCTGTCACTCTTCCATTGGTGGCAGCTCTGAAGCAATTTCTTCTCGGGCGCCTGCAAAGGATGGGTGTGGGAGGAAGGGACTGAAAATGGATCCAATGACTCATCCTGCTTCTGGCACCTTCTAGCACATTGCATTCTAGGTTAGGGGATTTTAGGGTTAGGAGCATGCCCTGACACCTGATTCCTGAGACCCAGTGGGACACTGAAACTTTGGGAGCCCTTCTCAGCAAACAGAAAAGCAGTTGCCACAACAACGACACCAAGAAGCCTCTGGAGACCAGGGTTTCTGAACCTAGGCATTGCTGACATTTGGAGCCAGGTAACTGTGTTGCAGGGGACTGTCCCATTTTAGGGTGTTGAGCGGCATCCCTGGCCTCTACCACCAGCTCTTAGGAGACCATACTCCATGGCACTCCTCCTCGTCCCCACTCAATTGAGACAAGCAAAATAGTATCTGCAGATGTCCACCGATGGACCAAATCACTCCTGGTTGGGAACCACTGTTCTAGAGAAACACCAGCCACCTTGAAATGAGTAGAATAAAATGTTCCCCGAAATTGCTCCACTGAATCAAGCCCTGCCACAACTATGGCAGTATGAATAAGTAGCTATAAATCGATGGTCCAGGAACTACCCTGACTTTTTTTGTTGGTTTTTCAGATCTAAAGCCAAGCCACAAACGCTAGAGGCAAACTCAATGCCTGGTTGGGCAAGTCCCTTCCTGCATCCCATAATAAGCCTTGCACAATCCCAGAGTGCCTTGCTTTATTGATGCTACTAAGAACCCCAGCATTCCTAAAAAGAAAAAAAATCAGCCAACCTACACCCTGATTGGTTAACCCCAGCATCTTCCGTGTTCCCAAGGAATAAAACCCCGTAGGCCTCACATTCAGGGTGCGGAACCTGAGGCCCTATCTTACTGTTCTTGCCCTCTGCAGAACCTCAATAAATCTGTCCTTGCTTTTATCAGTGTCCTTGGTCTAAGTTCTTTTATATCAGGAGGCAAGAACCCAAATTCATCTGTAACAACCTCTCTTTGCGGAGGTCATTTTTCTCCTCTCTCCTCAATGTCCTTAGACAAATGTTTACAGCTACTGACTGGAAGAAAACACAATGTTGGACTTAAGGTTTAGGGAATGCAGGAGTATTTCAGAATATTTTTTTCCTGGTAGAGACAACATGGGTCTTCTCCCCAGCTCACAAGAACGTTGTTTTCCCTTTGGAGGTCACCCTGGGCTGACTCCCCAGCCCTCCGAGCCTGATTCCTTCCTCCTTTCCTCTTCTCCCTCCTCTGAAACCAGGGCTGTTTTTCCTCTGTACCTTTGGACTGAAAAAAGCTACCTCTCAAAGCCCGTGACTCACAGAGCCTTTAAACCACATGAATCACAAGGCTCAGCAAAACAACAGCCAAAAGCAAACAGGGTGTGGCTTGGAGCTAGGCCTGGTCACCTCAGAGTCTCAGCTTTTTGTTCCTTTAAAAACTTCTTGAAATTCAGCTAGAAATAACCTTACAAACAGTCTCAATGTTTTGCTCCTTTAACACCTCTTTCCAGAAATTGAGAAAGAAATAATCTTTACAGAAATCTGTACGGGAAGTCACTGGATCTCCTGCTAACCTGAAAAATGGCATTTCATGTACTTTATTTTTCCAGTAATGAATTTATTCTCCTTGAAAAATGTTAAAAATAACAAAGTAAAATTTATTTTGAACTGCTCAGACGTTTTTCATAATACAAACATACATTAGTGACCAAAGAAAACAGGTGTGTTTTGGTCGGATTCACATTTTAGGTATAATGTTTAAATAACATAATGTTCACAGTTTAAGCCAGGAATGTAGTCTTTTTGTAACGGCAGATTTTTTTAGTCACTTGGGGAACAAGCCCAGGGAAATGGGCCCAGGGTTAGTCATGTTTTTGGTAACGTCTTTGGATTATTTTTTTTTTCTCAGAAGGCCTTAACAGGGTAGAAATTAAAATATCCCCTCCCTTTCCAATTTTTAGAACTAGGGAATTTTTCTAGAAGAGTCCAGAAGGGAGTGACTGGGAAATTAAAGGCATGAGGAAGGCTTTTTACTGTAAACTTTTAAAAACTTTAAAGATTTTTCACCATGTTCAATTTAAAACACTTAGCCCTATGCTGACGAAATGACAGAAGGGAAAAAAGATCTGGCTGGTGATCTTTTTTACCCAAATGGAATTTACCTGTAGAATTTCATATTCGGGATATTAAACACATTACCCCACCCCCGCCCCCCTCAAAGATACACACGGCTGTGTCTTTTGAAACCTCAGGCTTGAATAAGGCTCGATTTCTGACCTGAGTGAAACGTCAAGAGCCGAAACGGGGTGCCAAGGAGCACGGCCTGCACCCCAAGGCGGCGCAGAACAAGCGTGAAGGGTAACGAAGTCTAGCAAGTTCTAGGCCTGTCAGCTTTCAGGTCCCGCTCAACTCCTTTTACACAGCGGTCGAGTTTTTCACCTTTCTTTTCAAAGATTCAGTCCAGAGGCACCACCAGCCTTTCCCCGACAGAAACCTACTTTTCGCTCATTTGTTTTGAGAAATCCCTGCCGGCCCCGTGCGGGATTTAGGCCTCGCCGGGTGTCCAGGCCCCAGGCTGAGATTTGCCGAGTCATTCGCCTTGTCCCAGTGCCCGCGCTGGGGGATGGGCGCGGCTGCCGCGAGTTGGGGGACGGCTGAGTCTCCGGGCGCGGGGTGCGGGGAAGGGGGCCCTCGGACCAGCTGCGGAGTGGAGGAAGTTCAGGCAAGCAGAAACATATCTTATTTTAAACGTGACCCCAAAATAAATACCCTGCTGTTTCGAGGGGGGAGGGGTGGGCGGGCGCCCGTGAAGGGAGCCAGGCCCCGATTCTGCGCGAGATTCAGGGCGACCCCTGTCCGCCAACGACGGGACCCGAGAACCGTGGGGACTGTTGAGGCTAAGGGTTGGGGGCGTCGGGCTGTAAGCCGGTGACGCGGGAGCCCCGTCCGCTCCGGGCGCCCGATGACTCCACGCCGGGTTTTCGCGCACCCCGCCCCTCCACCGCTCGCATCCCCCGCCAACCAAGTCGAGCGCCGGCCACGTCCGCGGACGCAGCGCGCAGCGAACGCGCTGATCCCTCCGCCCTGTGTGGAGACACCCTATTCAAGATAGCGGCCCGCTCAGCCTAAGATTCAGCACAGAATTCCAGCCTTCACAGGAGAACATTTTATGAAAGATTTATATAACGCTGGGTAGCTAGTTGTCTTCCCAAGCAGCGGAAGAGCTGAAGAAAGTAGTCCCTTCTCGGCGTTTCTGCGGAGGGATCTGTCTGCGCGGCACTACCGGTGGCTATATAAGGCGGCGCCGGGCGTGGCGCAGGCAGTTCCGTGCGGACCCCGAGTACTTTTGCAGGAGGCTTCTCCGACTTGCTGCTACCGTCACTTCGTTTGGTGAGGAAGGGGCCGCTACGCTGGCCGGGGGACCTGGGGTCATCCTACTGCTTGCGGGACGGGGCGTACGGGGAGCGGGAAGCGCGATAGCCCGTTGCGGGCGAAGGGCAGGCGGGGCTCTTATCGCTCGGGTCCCGGGAGCCGGGTGGCCCTGAGGGAGGAACGGCGCAAAATGGCGGCGGGTTCCGCGCCGTCACGGCCTGGGAAGCGGGCGGTGAGGCGCGAGAGAATCTGGGGGGGTTGTGAAACACGGAAGGCCTTGGTCCCTTAGCGGTGGGAGAGCGCAGTTTTGGGACTGAACTGGGCAGTGTTGGGGAATGTGATGTGACGTCTGTGTCGCGACCTCGCTGGTCCGATATCGGTTTCTCGGCCCCGTGAGCGGGGCACTGGCCAGGCCGGGGCCGCTCTGAGGAGTCGGCGGGGGCGCGCGTCGGCGGGGGCGCGCGACGTCAGTCTTCTGTGGATTCACAGTCGAGGGTGGGGCCGCCTGCCGGTGTGTGCGGTAGGTTTTCGTCGGCCGCGGGACACAGGGCTGGGGCCTGGCGGAAACCCCACTGAGTTCACAGGAGACAGACGGCCAGTGAGGAGGGATGTAAGTGAGGCCCGCAATTTACGTGGGTTCGGTTTCCCTGGTTTTCTGTTGTAAGTGCTTGAGGTTTGGGATTCGACTTTGTCAAGGTTTTGTTTCACTTCCTGAGGTAGTTTGCGCAAGTTTTTTTAATGTCTTGGGATGACGTTGGTTAATAAAATGTATGTTTCAAGTGTCTTTTATGATATATGACTTAAATATTTTGTGTCAGGCAAGTTTTTGTCTTAGTTACTTGGCAATGTAAAATGACATTTAATTTCTAGAATTAGGAATATGTTGTGATGTGACTTGGTTGCTAAAGTCTATGGGTATTTTTTTTCCATTTTTTTTTTCCTAACAGACAATGCAGATCTTCGTGAAAACCCTGACTGGCAAGACCATCACCCTAGAGGTCGAGCCCAGTGACACCATCGAGAACGTCAAGGCCAAGATCCAAGACAAGGAGGGCATCCCCCCTGACCAGCAGCGGCTGATCTTCGCCGGGAAGCAGCTGGAAGACGGGCGCACCCTGTCCGACTACAACATCCAGAAGGAGTCCACCCTGCACCTGGTGCTGCGCCTCAGAGGGGGGATGCAGATCTTCGTGAAGACCCTGACTGGCAAGACCATCACCCTAGAGGTCGAGCCCAGTGACACCATCGAGAACGTCAAGGCCAAGATCCAGGACAAGGAGGGCATCCCCCCTGACCAGCAGCGGCTGATCTTCGCCGGGAAGCAGCTGGAAGACGGGCGCACCCTGTCCGACTACAACATCCAGAAGGAGTCCACCCTGCACCTGGTCCTGCGCCTCAGAGGGGGGGATGCAGATCTTCGTGAAGACCCTGACTGGTAAGACCATCACCCTGGAGGTCGAGCCCAGTGACACCATCGAGAACGTCAAGGCCAAGATCCAGGACAAGGAGGGCATCCCCCCTGACCAGCAGCGGCTGATCTTCGCCGGGAAGCAGCTGGAAGACGGGCGCACCCTGTCCGACTACAACATCCAGAAGGAGTCCACCCTGCACCTGGTGCTGCGCCTCAGAGGGGGGATGCAGATCTTCGTGAAGACCCTGACTGGCAAGACCATCACCCTGGAGGTCGAGCCCAGTGACACCATCGAGAACGTCAAGGCCAAGATCCAGGACAAGGAGGGCATCCCCCCCTGACCAGCAGCGGCTGATCTTCGCCGGGAAGCAGCTGGAAGACGGGCGCACCCTGTCCGACTACAACATCCAGAAGGAGTCCACCCTGCACCTGGTCCTGCGCCTCAGAGGGGGGATGCAGATCTTCGTGAAGACCCTGACTGGTAAGACCATCACCCTGGAGGTCGAGCCCAGTGACACCATCGAGAACGTCAAGGCCAAGATCCAGGACAAGGAGGGCATCCCCCCTGACCAGCAGCGGCTGATCTTCGCCGGGAAGCAGCTGGAAGACGGGCGCACCCTGTCCGACTACAACATCCAGAAGGAGTCCACCCTGCACCTGGTGCTGCGCCTCAGAGGGGGGATGCAGATCTTCGTGAAGACCCTGACTGGTAAGACCATCACCCTGGAGGTCGAGCCCAGTGACACCATCGAGAACGTCAAGGCCAAGATCCAGGACAAGGAGGGCATCCCCCCCTGACCAGCAGCGGCTGATCTTCGCCGGGAAGCAGCTGGAAGACGGGCGCACCCTGTCCGACTACAACATCCAGAAGGAGTCCACCCTGCACCTGGTGCTGCGCCTCAGAGGGGGGATGCAGATCTTCGTGAAGACCCTGACTGGCAAGACCATCACCCTAGAGGTCGAGCCCAGTGACACCATCGAGAACGTCAAGGCCAAGATCCAGGACAAGGAGGGCATCCCCCCTGACCAGCAGCGGCTGATCTTCGCCGGGAAGCAGCTGGAAGACGGGCGCACCCTGTCCGACTACAACATCCAGAAGGAGTCCACCCTGCACCTGGTGCTGCGCCTCAGGGGTGGGATGCAGATCTTCGTGAAGACCCTGACTGGCAAGACCATCACCCTGGAGGTCGAGCCCAGTGACACCATCGAGAACGTCAAGGCCAAGATCCAGGACAAGGAGGGCATCCCCCCTGACCAGCAGCGGCTGATCTTCGCCGGGAAGCAGCTGGAAGATGGGCGCACCCTGTCCGACTACAACATCCAGAAAGAGTCCACCCTGCACCTGGTCCTGCGCTTGAGGGGAGGTTTCTAAGTTTCCCCTTTTAAGCTTTCAACATGTTTAATTGCACTTTCAATAAAGTTGTTGCATTCCAAAGTAGTGTGATTTTTTTCCCCTCCTCCTTTACTACTGGCTAGTTTAAGTAAGGTTCTCTTTTAGGGTGGGGTTTGAGGAACAGAGATTTTAAGTAATATTTTGTGGTAATAAATGCAGTGTAAGGTGACCTAAGTTTAGAACTGCAGTGAGTGGGTGAGAAAAAAAATCAAATTGCAATTAGAATTTTCCCTGTGTACAGGTAAATGTAGATTAATGAGTAAACTACTCAGTTTAAAAATACTGAGTATGGGCATGGTGTGAGGTACCTGAGAATGGGAAAAGTTTCTGGAATACCAGCAAGGAGATTTTTTTTTAAGGGTGGGAGTGGTTGTAGGGAACATAAAAAGAATCAAATTTAATAAAGAATAGCTCTCCTTGGAGTCACTGATGCATAGAAAATCATTTGGCTAGATTTAAGAGGAGTGATTTGTATTTAAGTCTACTTGTACATTATACTACTGGTTATTTAGAAAATGGAAGCTGATTGAAATATATTTAGTAAAGTGTCACGATTTCTCAATGTGACTGCAGATGAGTTTCTGTGTAACAATTGGTGGGTGAAGCACTTGGCTTTTGATCTTCATTTGCAGAGGTTGGTAATAGTGGTATTTACCTAATCATAATGCTGGTAAGGGATTTTGTTAGTCAAGAACAAAAATTTGAAGGGAAGCTGACAATACAAGGAGTAGGCACCCAGAAATTGGGCCTATTAAAGGACTTGAGATTGTTTGCATCAGCACCTTCTCTGCTTTCATCCATTGAGTTTAGGGTGTCCCTGTGTAACATGTAGAGGAAATTGTTTTTTCACTAATTATAAAATATTTGAGGTTGGTAGATTTAAGGGATTAAAACTAGAAAAATACCACTTAAGTCCAGGAAGTGTAGGTTAAGTGCATGTGATGCTGCATGCATCTGTACCTATGTCCAGTCACTTGGCTGGGAGCTGTGTAATTTTGATGCTCATTAAGAATGCCCTGGCTGGTGTGGCCCAGTGGATTGAGTGCAGGCCTGTGAATCAGGGTCACTGTTCATTCCCAGTTGGGGTGCATATCTGGGTTGTGGGCTGGGTCCCCAGTTGGAGGGCATGCAAGAGGCAACCACACATAGGTGTTTGTCTCCCCCTTTCCCTTTTGCTCTAAAAATCTTACAAATGGTCATGGTATAGGAAATTAAAAACTCAAATCACTTCTTGAAAATGACCACTGCAGGATAGGCATTGCGAATTTCCTGTGTTGAGTCTTTCGGAGTTTTCAAGTTCAAGAGGTTTAGTGGCTAGTAACAGTTGAAAAATGTGGCCCTAGCTGGTGTGGCTCAGATTAAGTGCTGGCCTGTGAACAAAAGGGTCACTGGTTTGATTCCAGTCAGGCGTATACCTGGGTTGTGGGCCAGGTCCCCAGTAGGGGGTGTGCATGAGGCAACCACACATTGAGGTTTCCCTCTAAAAGTAAGCAAAATCTAAAAATATAGGACTGGGTCATATCATTACAGCCTGATGTCTTGACAAATGGGGACCTTTCCTGCATTGCCCAGAGCTGGAAGGATCTTGGAATTGAGGGATTAGAGCATGAGTTTTATTAATAAAACTTGGGTGATGCAGCGGTGGGCAACCTCTGAAGAGCTCACTGAACATTGGCTCCTTGGAGTGCTTCCTGTCAAGTGTGAAAGGAATTGCTAATCATAAGTCAATACAAACACATTAAAAGCCAGGTGCAGCTCTCACTGGGGTGGCTAAGTGGGTTGGGCATTGTCCTGCAAACCAAAAGGTTGCTGGTTGGATTCCTGGTCAGAACACATGCCTGGGTTGCAGGCCCAGTTGGAGGCCTGAGATGAAGGCAATCTATGTTTCCCTTCCTCTTTCCCCTTCTAAAAATAAATTGAAAAGATGTAGAAAGTTCCATACAAGCTTATTCCCAGGAAGAAGTGAGTTAGGAATATATTTGTCTTAATAGTTTATAGTGTATATGTGTATGTTATAAAGATAATCCTCCTGAATTCCTAGTTATCCATTTTTGCTACCCAGTGATAACTTGTTCAAAAAAATAGTCTTGGAGAGAGATCTGTTCCACCCACTGAGGCGTTCATTAGCCGATTCTTGTATGTGCCCTGATCCAGGGTCGAACTACAACCTTGGCATGTTGGCCCAACGCTCCAATCAACCTTAGTGAGCATACACAACACCTTCCATCCAACAAATACAAGCATGTTAGTATTTACAGTGGTAAGAGTGATGAAGTTTCTGCCATCAAGGAATCCTCAGTCTAGTCAGATGTTAGACTTGGTCAGTTTTATTGAATAATAAGTATGCACACACTTCAGTTTGCTTTCACCTCATGTAAGGATTCCTTTACATAGCTGCAGTTGTGTGAGTCTTGAATAAACCAGAAGAAAAATGTGTGGCTTATAGTAGTGTTCCTTTACATTTTCTCTGGAAGTACAACAAAATCAAGTTGTAAATTTAGCTTTCTTAGAGGTATACTGTTTACAGAGTGGCAAGAGCCTTTGGATTAAAGGATGTCATTTTAGTCTGCAGTATTCATTTTTGCCGGAAGAGGGAGGAACTGGAGCAGGCTAGCTTAGAAAGCTTGCAGCGTCCCCAAGTGGTGGTGGATGGACCGGGTAGTTTGTTTTTTGTATCTTTCCTTACAGAGGTTTGTTTACTCACCAGTAAAACGCATTTCACTTACTTTTCCCCCAGTTCTGCAGCCACCTCTTATTTCCACCCCAACTGGAATTACTCCATAACATCTAAGTAGTTAGTCAATGTAGATGCTCTATTACTGTCTCATCAGATCTAACCCCTCAGTATGTTCTCCCTGCTGCCCATATCTGTTGGCCACTTTCTTTTCCTATGTGTTCCCAGCCATTTCACACGTCCTTCCTTCACTCAGGTGGTGGTTCTTCCTAAACTACCACCACGCCCACCTCAACAAATCAAATCCTACCCAACGTTAAGGCCTAATTCAAAGATTCCCCAAAAGCTGCTTTGGCTGTCCCACCTGGAAGTTACCTGTCTTTCTTGAAATCTCATAGCTCTGGCTATTTTACTGAAGCTATTCATTCAAATGGGATGGTTCTGTTCCTTTTTTAAAGTTTTTGGTTTTGTTTTTAAAATTACTGAGTTTATTGGGGTGACATTGGTTAATAAAATTACGTAGGTTTCAGGGGTACAATTTTATTATAAATCGTCTGTGTATTGTACTACGTGTTCATGGCCCCAAGCACTGTTCCCCCTTATAATAGCACAGAGAAGCAGAGGAGATCAGATTGAATGAGAGAGGGTTGGGGCCCTGCTTGTGATAGATGAGCAGGAAAAAAGAGTGCATTCAGCCTTGCGGAAGCGGGGCAGCAGAAAATAATGCAGGAGCCCTGGGACGGGCGAAGGGTTTGGCGTGGTTGAGGAGCCGAGCGGGGACCAGCGCGGCAGTAGTACGGCTGCAGAACTTCCAGTGTATCTTCAACAGCTGGGCTGGAGAGGGCCTGGGCCCTTGCGTGTTTTTAAATATTCTCCAGCCAGGGCTGGGAACCACTGTTTCAAACTGTTGCTATCATTCCATGGGTGAAATAGTTTTTAACCAACACAAAACCCGAAGAATTGTATTGAGTGAGTTCAAATATATTTTTAAAAGTAAATTATACCCGTTACTGCTTGTGATCTTACTTGTAGCAAATGTGGGCGTCCATTTAATCAAAGCCCTGCCACATGAGGCTGCTCCCAGTAACAGAAAGTTCAACCCCCTGGCCCGACTCTAGGAAACACAGTATCTTTTTACCAAGACAATGTGGGCTCACAGGCTCTGGCCTCTGTTGTTGGTCTTTTTTCCTCTTGGGTTGTCAGCGCTGTGACTGAGCAATTGTAGACATCACATGAACCCAAAAATGTCCAGAGGAAATAAAGGTAACATCTCTCTTACTGGGACTAATTAGGAGCAAGGAAATCTTTCCCAGAAGTCCCCTCGGCCAACTTGCCCTCATTGGCCAAAATTGGGTTATATGTTTATTCATTGTACTGTTGTTGAAGCTGCAGAATCTATTTAAAATATTTTTAAAAACTTTTCCCTATTACTTTTCCCCCTCTTTTGGTCATAACACAAGTTTTGACAGGAAATAATGATTAGGACACATTTGTTTCTTCTTCAGAGGTGGTTATACTAAAACAGGACAGACTCAGAAACCCTCAAGAGACTCTTAAAAGGTGTCAAGAATCCAAACTCCAGGCGCGAAGGGTGGACCCTGTCAGGACGGACCGTGGCAGGGGAGTGACCAGCTCTCATGTGCGCAAGAGGGAGCCAGGAGGGTGTGGGGCTGGTACAGAAGGGCCAGCATTTCCCTGAAAGCCCGTATGGCAGTAGTGTGCTCCACATTTTGTGTGACTTACGCTGTCCACAAACCTGCGCTGAGAGTCACTTGTCACGGAGCCAGCTCACGCCCCAGGAGGGTCTGCCAGCGGCTGCTGCTGGCTTCTCGGGGCTGCTGGTGCTTTGCTGCTGTATGGGTCATAAAGGGAATTGCAAAGTAGAGAAGTCATGGTTGTGTGCTGTGGACATTAAGGCTCCGCGGTTGATTCCTGCCCTCCCCCAAGGGGCTCCAATAGGCCATCTTTCTCCTTGGCCCTGACCTGTCACCCTTCTTTGGCCCTGCAGTATTTTTGGCCATGCCTCCCAAGTTCAGTCAAAGCCCACTTGCTCTGGGGCCGAGTGTAAGAAAAAGGTGAATTAGAAAAATACCTCAAGTTTTACGATAACAGCTTTCCTGTGTTTCTAGACATCAAGCAAATGATCGTTCTTAAGCCATTTGCCAGCAAAGGCAACAGAGTGATGAGTGACTGACTGAGCCCAGCTGGGATCTCCTCCCGGGGATAAGACCACCACCCCCGCACCGAGTGGGCACTCAGGCTCTGTGAGGATGGGGGACAGGCTAGAAGTGGTTGCCTACCTCCGACACTCCGTGTTCACTGACTTTACTGGAAACACTGGGTGTAGCAGTTAATTGTTAGATTTCCC